AAACAACAATTTGAATATTATTACTTTGTTTATTATTATTATTATTATTATTATTATTATTATTATTATTATTATTAGAGAAACCATTATATAATTTGAAGAAGAATTTAAATTTTAAGAAATAATTGTTTCTGCTGTAAGTAGGCCAATAAAACGTATTAAAACCTGTTATAAAGAGAAATAAATTTGAATTAAGACTATTTTAGACAGTCTAATGCAGTTTTCATTTCGTAATGGAGCTAACAAAAAAGGTACAGTTGAAATTTGTAGGACATATAATGAGAAAAAAGTGCCTCGAGTTTCTGATACTCACAGGACATAATGAGGGTCGGAGGGACAGAGGGGCAAGCAGAGAATAACCTACCTAAAGATCTTGTATAAGTGGATGGCAGAAAAGGAATTGGTAGAGATTAAAAAAAAAAAACAAAAACAAAAAAAACAAACCTTACTAAGACATACGAAGGATAGGAAGATATGGAGAGACATGATCACTTTTTCATGTTCTGAAGAGACGGTGCACATAAAAAAAGGAAAATAGAACTAAATTATTTTTAAGTCTAAACATAAAGTAAAAATATTTATTTTTTTTGAACAATACGACTTTTGGTAAACTGATACCAAAGAGTGTAAAATCTGCTGTGCAATATTTCTAATAGTGCTTTTATTTTTTCATGTAAATATTTAACATAAATATGCAGAGTAAAGTTATGTTTAACTGAAATTGAATCTTTTGTCCTTTTCTTGGTAGATTCAGTGGTTCATTAATTTTTCTCTTAGAAATCAATTAGGTTCTCTATTTTCTTATTTATCGGTTTGAAACCTGATTTTTTTAGGGTAGTGATTCTCCATGTGGACCTCTTGTTAAATTCCAACGGCATTATGCAAAGCGCTATAATTTTAACAGGACAATAAAATTATCCCTTATTACATTTGTAGATAGTGTAACGGCAATTAGCGCGGAAAATGGAATCGTGGTATATTGTATCCGCTTTCGTACTAATGTCCTTGTATGAAAGGGAAAACTGTAAGTCAAAGTCCGGTAACTCCGATACTCTGGCATCAGTCACTGATGCGGTTTTGTTGTTACCACCGTAGCTTACTTCCGGTGAGAAACATTCTATATTAGTTTTGTTCCATTTCAGTGCTATTTTAACATGTCGCAAATATCTGAAAAGGGACGCTGAGAAATAGAAGATTAAAAACCACTGAATTAATGAATCTCTTAAAAAACAATTAGAATCCAAAATAGGCTTAGAATTGAAGTCGTCACTGACAAACAAATATCATTTATATAGTTACTTAATTTATGTACACAGGTGTGACGTAGGTAAAGTCTACTTATTTATTACAAAACATTGCGCGTTTTCGTTGATATTTATAAGCTTCAAGGAAAACATATTGAAAACAATATATGTTCATGTCATTCTTTATTATAGGCATGTTCAAAATTGATAACTTTTACTTCTGTGTTTTATGAATCTGTGTACTGTAATGAAAAGCAGGGAGTGTCGCTGGCAGAAGCTATAATAAAGTTACCTTTAACCGGTATTGACTGTCAAAATGATTGTAATAAGAATGTATGGCTAAATGATTGACTCCTGTGCGTCAGTTTATTTTGTGCGTGCAGCAATCATTCGAGGGAATCGAGCGTGATTCTCTCTCTACAATTCAAAATCAGTCGCACTATAAAAAATATAAACAAAACATATTTTTGAAAATTCTCGCCTTAATCACATATTAAAGTGAGAATTTACAAAAATATGTTTTCTTTACATTTTTGCTATATAATCGACTCGTCCGCATAATTAGAGATTTTATTAATGTGGGAAAAAAAGAATATCAGGTTTATCAGTTGGAATATAACCTGCATAAAAAACATATTATAATATTAATTGTATTAATGAAATGGTTGATGTATGACTGAAATGAAAATTGTATGTTAACTTACCATGAAACTGCCTTGATGTTTTGATAATAGTTTTTAGAATGAGTGCGTAGGCCGTGACCATAATAATAAGCGGGATAACAAAAAGCAACAACATGGAAGATGCTGAGTAGAGTTGACTTTGCCATGCGGCTGTGTAACTGTCCCGGCATTGATGAAACATGCCCTGGCGAAATAGTTTTTTCTGCTCTTGAAAGATGAATGCCTGTAATAAATATACGCAGATATTATTATTAACTGTTCATTGGTAATACGTGCATCCAGTATTGTTAATGAAAAGATTGAGGCAAACATTATTAAATTCGTATTTGACAAAAAGGCATGGATTTCTTTTAATTTTCAATGATTACAGTATGAAATAAATCAGTATCGAAATGTATAGTTATAAAATATTATACTCTAAAAATAAACTAGATATCAGCTAATATAGAATACAGTTACGGTTATTCAAGAATTTTACACCAAAAGTTTTAATATAGAAAAGAAATTACAGATAAAAGTTTTAATACAGAAAAATTTACAGTTAAGGTTGTTATACAGAAAAGGCTTTAGAATTGTCTGAAAATACTTTCTAGAAAGAACTGCAAAAGGTTAGAGTTCAAAGAAGTTTCGATTATTCGATACAATAAACTAAATTAGTCAGTGTTCAAATTTTTAAACTGCTACTACCATCAGAACGAGCACTGAGCAACAAAAAGCTTTGGAAACTCAGGGTTTGAATAAAGACGAAAAGAAAATAATTATTTTCACCGCATCGTTCATAGCATATCGTATTAATAAATAAAATATCTGCTATATCCTGTATCTGAAATTCCCAAATCCATTCCCCCACCAAATCCGAAAGTTTTCAGGTGTTGACATGTCTTGCCACAAATGGAAACTTGCAGAAAACACTTGGAAATTTCCTAGGTGATTTGCAACTGTTGCAAGTGGCCTCATTTACCTTGGGTCCCCACCCTCCAGTTACATCGCCTATGTTGATACTAGTTTCTTGTAGCGATCGTCAAAACAACACCTTAGTTCTTTGATTACTTACCAGGTCGTGCTCCGTAAAATTATTATTTAAAATGTCAAATCTTACATTTATGATTTTTTGTAAGTAGTCATCATGTTCTTGTACAGAAAGTTCGAAACATTATTTTTACGTGAAATCTTAATTTCGCCACTTACAAATTCGTTTAAGCCTTGTATGACTAGCGTCATTACCTGAATCTGTATATACACAAAATTTATTAAATTTTATACAGAACTAGTTTCATGATATAAGTTATTTTTATAAAACTACTAAAATCCGAAAAAAATCTGAAAACTGAAGCATTTCAAGTCCTAAGAATTTCAGATAAAAGATTCTCATTATAATGAATAGTTATTATTGAAGTTGTGAAATATAATTTTTAACAATAATCAAACTCTATTTTAAATTGTTCATTTTTACATTTATTAAGTGAAGTGGGTGAAGTTGGACTGTAATTTTTAATTTATCACATGTTCTTTCATTTGAAAGTTTTTTGTTATTTATTTTTTCTATTTCGGATTAGTGTCTTCTTTTCAGCTCCATACTTATTTGTAATTGTTTAATGACTGACTATTTTCGACTTTCAAAAACCGTTATCAAGGAGTTTTGTTTCATCATTTTCAAATATCGCGTATTCACGTGACGGTTTGTGTCATCGTGTCGTGATTTTTTATTAATTTTATTTGTATTTATTTATTTAATAATTTAAACCTAATCAAAGTAACAAAAGCCAGTAAATAAGTAAGTGGTCATTGAGAGTAAAATAATCTGAAAAAATATTATTAAGAAAGGACAATAAAAGAACAGGTATTAAGGAGACAGAAGATTACGATTGATATGATGACGAATGATTGATGACGATTGACATTTTTGAAGATCAAAGTTTGTTGGAACGCAAGAAGCCAGAATAGAATCCCACAAACCGGAAGTGCGGGAGAAGGAACTGTTAGCATAAAACTTACGGTTACATCAAACAATTTAAACTGTAAAATGATGAGACCTAGATGCCAATCCAGTATTGAACTTAGATTTGTAAAATCGGTATTCCAAGGAGGGAACTTCATCAGAACAATTACCATGAAAATATTTATAGAAAAGTCACAGGGGAGCTAGATTACGGCGGTGAGAAAGTAACTGAAGTGAAGATGACAGGCCAGGACCATTAAAATTATAAATTCTTCTTTAAATTTTGTCAAGAATCTCTAAATACATAGTAAAATCACCAGACCTGAAGTGGCAGCGATATTTAAAGCATGGACGGATGGTTAGACTTAAAAAGATAGATTCTGATAAGTATAAATTGTCTTGTATGATATAAAATGACTGACATTTCTAGCAGTAGACCTCAATTGATACAACATAATGGTTTCAATTCATACCAGTGCAAAACATTATCACAAGAAATGTATCACTCCCTCGAAGGTAAGCATCAGCCATTCTGATGGAAGGAAGAATTGTTTTCTAAGATGATTAAAAAAGACAGTTTTTTAATGTAATATATTTATTTTTTAAAATTATAAAAATAAGTTTATATAGTATATTAAGTCTATATGCCTGATTAAATATAAAAATTCCTTTCAGCTATAAATACTAATTTCTTTCTTTGTACATAAACATTTTTCAGTATTTTTCACTGATTTCCGTATTCGTCCACAGCCATGAAAATTAAAATCTAACAAAGACAGAACTATTCATTACCAATTCACTTTCTTTTATCATTGCTCGTCAATTAGCACGCACAAAAAAAAAAAAAGAATTTAATCGGTTCTGTTCTCAATAAAATTCACGTTCACGTCAAACATGAAGACGGTTCATTTTGGACCCTTTCTTTGAAATCTTCTGGTTAAATATCCAATTAGCAATATAGAAGAAGACCAAAAGCAACAAATCTGTTTGTCAAACAATTTCGAAATTCGACTTTAAGGAATTAAAATAAATAACTTTCAAACTTTCAACCAAAAGTTGTTTATAGACGTTTTTAGTTTTCAGTATTTCATTCGCTGTCACTTTAGTCGATTTAAATGAAATTAAATATTGTAGGGTTTTGCTCACTTTCTTTCCTCTGTCTAAGCAGGTCGATCATTAAGGTTAGTCTTTCAGATTGCCCTGTTCTCATACAAGAACTGATAAAAGTGCAAACATCAGACCGCTCATTAGCCTACCTATCTATCCTACTGTATCTCTCTGAACCGGGGATGTAAATCTGAACATTTAACTTGCCTAATACATACATACATATATATATATATATATATATATATATATATATATATATATATATATATGTATAATAACGGACTCTCCCGTTGATTTAGATGTATGAGGATCTGACAGCTTAATTGATTCAGTTATGAAATTTTGTGCGATAATCTTAAGTGGCACTCAAGACCCACTTGTGATTTACAAAGGAGGCCACATATGGAGCAAGAGTGAGGATTGTGAGATGAGATCACTGTTAGATTGGCTGATCTTTTAGATCTTGCTCTCACTTCTTGAAGATGATTCAGACAAGCAGATTGAAAACTGCTGAGTCCACTAAAACACGTTGATCTCCATTCTAACCGCTTCACGACTAAGCGGTCAAGGGTGTTATGTGGTATATTGACAGATGACAAGTTGCTTTTCAGCTTGTTTTTGTATTTTCGCCATGGGCATCCTACATTCCTGTAGCCCTGATCTAACTAGCTGTACTTTAATATCTTAGGTATCCTGTCATAAGATATTCTCAAGACATGGCCAGTCCATCGTAACTGAGACTGTATGATAAAAATCTCGATTCCTCCAATATTACATCTGTTAAACAGGTCTGCGTTAGATGTCCTATCTTGAAGCTTAACTCCACAGATTGCACGCAGACAGCTTTTATGGAAAACATCCAGCTGGCATATATGGTACCTGCATGGAGTCCACGACTCTGAGCCGTACAAAAGGATGGCAAATACAACAGCTCTGTAAACCCGAATTTTCGAATCCAGTCGAATACCCCGCTCAAGCGATGGCGAAGTTTGCCGAAAGCACTGGTAGCCTTAGCAATCCCATGCTTGATTTCATCTAAAGTTCCATTGTAGTTGTCTTTGCTATCAAGATAAGTGAAAGACCTTTAGCATGTTTTCAGGGATGCCGAGTTTCTTCAAGAATTGCTAAAGAGTCTCTCGATTCACAGTGTCAAAGGTCTTCGTCAAGTCCACAAACACTATGTACAACTAACTCGGGGTCGTAGGGCTCCAGCTATGGGCAAAAAGGGTCCACTTGTGTGGATTTTCTGGATGTTTAACTTGATTCGTTCTTATCCACACAGTTCACTTGCAAGTTCCGCTGGCGAGAGAGTGAAGGCGACGGGGTCAGGTAAAGGATAATACTGGAAGCCTCTAGCTGGAGTTATACACAGTGGCAGACCGATGGGTGACGACCGTTCTTTCACAAACCCATGAGCAATTCTGATGTATGTGTTCTCCATCGGTGACAAATCAGCCCTATTTAGGATTGCAATGCTTTCTCTATTATGGGGAGAGGGCGATAAAAGGAGCCCTAAACATTGCTTGCTCACACAGGGACTTGGCAGCCCGCTGAAGCTGTCTAGTTTTCCAATAAAGCAGTAGAAACCCCAAGAAAGATCAGAATAAATATAAAAAAAATTCCATTTTGGATCCTGGAATGTTCGCACTCTCCAGGGCAATGATTCTGCACCAGGGCGTAAAACAGCTCTTGTTTCTCTCGAGTTGAAGAAATATAACATCGACATAACGGCCATTAGTGAAACACCTCTGGCTGGTAATTCACAACTTAAGGAAGAAAAAGGTGGATACGTATTTTTATGGGCTGGCAAGACTGAGAAAGAGTCACACCAGTCTGGTGTTGGCTTTGCCATCAAGTCAGACCTTGCTAGCTCTTATCTAAAGGTGTATCTGATCCCATAATGGCATTAACCCACAATCTGGAGTGGAACACCCGTGTGACGATGGTTAGCTACTCGCCAACCTGAGGTAGTTAAGATCAAGAAAAAGATGGTTTTTACAATCTCCTTCGGGATGTCATCTCCAATGTTCAACATAAAGATAAATTAATCCTTACAGGTGATTTCAATGCTTGTGTTGGCAATGATTATCCTTCTTGGAAGGGCGTTTTAGGTCGCCATGGTATTGGTCGTGTGAATTTTAATGGATTATGCCTTCTCACTATCTGCAAGGAATTTGACCTTAGTATCACTAATACTTTCTACCAGCAACCCAGCTGTCGTAAGACCACGTGGATGCATTCTCGTTCGAAATACCGGCATCTGATCGACTATGTCATCACAAAAGACGGGACATAAAATAATTTAAGATAACGCATTCATTCCCCACAACATGCTATCTGTCAGATCACGCTCTACTTCGGAGTAAAGCTACAATGCATCTGCAAAAGCGAAGGATTATAAAATCTACAGTGTTCAAGCGCATTAACGTACTGCCTCTTAAATCGACTGAAACGAAAATTGAGCTCTCTGACAAACTTGATGCTGCACTTGATTCTATAAACATTACCAATGATATCGAATCATCTTGGAATGCTCTGCGTGATGCAACATATTCTACATCCTTGGAAGTTCTCAGCCTACCACATCGTAAACCTTAAGACTGTTTTGATGACAATAATACAGAAGTTCAGCAGCTTATAGATCAATTGCACTCTTCTCGTAAAGCATGGATTGAGGACAAGAACTCGTCCGATAAGAAGATCGCTTACTAGAAGTGCAAAAGTCAGGTTCAACGAGCTCCCAGGGCCATGAAAGAGCGTTGGTGGTCTGAAAAGGCCACTGAACTCCAATAAGCTTCAGATAGAAAGGATCTAAAGGATTTCTATGCTGGCCTAAAGAGCATTTTCGGTCCTCAGAAAAGTGGTGTTGCTCCAATCTCCACAGCAGATGGTGAACCTCTCTTGACGGATAAGTCAGGCATTTTAGATGGCTGGAAAGAGTATTTCGAAACTGTGTTAAACATCACTTCGTTTACTGATGAGGAAGCCATCACATCAATTGAGCATTTTGAGTCCATGTCTTTTATGAATATCACGCCTATGAGAAAATACATCTCGACTATATGAACTGTGTCGGCTCTTTATATTAAAACTTGTGTTAAGTTACTACAAATGTGGCTGATTAAGAATATATTTATTACTTTTAACAATAGGTTTACTATCACTACTTTTATCGTTATTATTATAATTCAGGATGATCGTTAGCCTTCTACGTAAACTCTAAGTGTATCTACTTATATGAACCAAGATGGATGATAATTGTAATCGGAGCTTTACCCTGAACTATTCTATCTTTGTATAGATACAAAAATCACAAAATGTATAGCATAATATTTTTTCTAAATAAATCCACATTACAACCAAAAACGTTTGCGGCACCTCTCTTCTTTTTAATATACATACTTTTCTCTCGTTGGAACCACTACAACATAATTCTTTTCGTGCGTCTTGAAACGGACCTCCAATCGGTTGTTAACTGGGGCAAGAAATGGCTGGTCAACTTTAACGCCACTAAAACTAAATTACTCTCCATTAACCACCATAGAGATCCTTCCCTGCCCCCCATTAAAATGTCTGATAGTCAACTTCCTGAGAGCAACTCCCTGCGTCTGCTCGGTCTCACGCTGACTGCTGACCTGAGATGGAACAAATACATTGAGTCAATTGCTTCTTCCACCGCGAGGAAAAAGTTGGCTCTCTGTGCCGCGCCAGGAAATTTTTCTCCCTGAATCGATACTTCAAATATATAAAACAACCATTCGCCCTTGCATGGAGTATTGCTGCCATATATGGGCTGGAGCACCTTCTGCTTACCTCAGGTTCTCGACAAGATCCAGAGAAGGATATGTAATCTAATTGGCCCTGATCTAGCGTCTTGCTTGCAGTCACTCTCTCACAGACGCGCCGTCGCCTCTCTCTGTCTTTTCTACAAATACTTCCATGGTAACTGCTCTGATGAGCTGCTCTCTCTGGTTCCCAGACTCCATGAATTCAAGCGCCCTACGAGGCTGGCATCCTCCCTCTCACCCTTACACCGTAGAAACCTTCAAATGTAGCCGTCTCTTCTACTCCAATAGCTTCATACCTCGCACCTCTCGCCAGTGGAACACCCTCCCCAATTACTGTTTCCTGAAAGCTATAATCTCCAACTATTCAAATGTAATGTCAATCGACATCTCCAATTACCATGATCTACCCACTATCCTTCTCCTCTTCCTTTCTCCTATCACTCTTATCTGCTCTCGCTCCAAACCCCCTGCATCCTAGTGGCTTCACGCCTTGCTTGGGGCACAATGCTTAAAATATATATATATATATATATATATATATATATATATATATAGAGAGAGAGAGAGAGAGAGAGAGAGAAAGAGAGAGATAGAAATAGATAGATATATAGTAAACAAATAAAAGAAAATGTTTAGGTGGATTAATTTTTCGACACAGAGATTCCCTGAAATGGTATCCACTCCTCAAGGAATTAGATAATAAATCGAATTTTTTTACAGTTAACATATCATTACTGATATTATATGATATTTGTAATTATATAATGATATCTGTAATTATGTGATATCTGTAGATAAATTCATTTGTCTATCTAGCTTATCCCTGTTTTTTTTATTGTCCTCTAACCTAAATAATGTTTTTTACTCAGATTCTTTCCAACTCAGTAACACCTTGCGTCTTAGTGGCTTTATCACCTTATTTGGGTTGAAATTATTAAAAAGAAAACACTGATGAGCAGCTACGACTTCTCTAAAACTCTGAATTTCGAAGTTAAATCTGATCATTTTATTAACAATTAATATTCTGTATCTTAATAATGAGCACTTTCATTACAAAGACCGTTTTAAAAGATTTTTCCTCCAGAAATACTCTGGTTGACTGTGTATATGTATGTGTTTATTTCTTATTTACAAAGATTTTTCTTGCACTTTTAACATTTATTCTGTAGACAGAATGTAAAGCAGACAAAGCGACAGATGGCTTATATTTCCACGTAAAGTATTCACCAGTCTTAAACAATATTAACAAATTCACGTAAATAAACAATAAAAAAAACACCCTCTTCTTTCGTCTACACGTAAAATCTGCGATTCTTTCACGATTTATATCTTTGATTAAAATCTTTTGCGCATTTTCTGTAGAAAGACGAAAGTCTGCAGCATACAAAATCTCTAAATTCTTAGAAAAGAAAAAGTAAAATAATTTATTGTTGTCAGTAAAATTGCATTTGTTCATTTTGCGATGATTCGAATTGTCTTTATGATTTAATTACTTGCTCTGATTGCGTGCGTTAATCAAAAGCCTAAACAAAGAAATTGATTTGAAATAATTAGTCACTTAATAAATTGGTCACTACTAATGACAAGAAAATCCCCAATTATTTATTCCACTTTATCGATTAGTATTGACTTGGTAAAACCACTCATCAGATATGGACGCATAAATATCTTATTGCGAATTAAACTAGTAAGAGTTTGTTTAAATTAGCACATCATAAGAATATTAGTTATTGCTCTCTCTCACAATATATATATATATTTATATATATATATATATATATATATATATATCTATCACAGTTGGTTCTTATCTATCATAGTCTGTTCCCAATCTATCTATCTATCTATCTATCTATCTATCTATCTATCTATCTATCTATCTATCTATCTATAGGTGTACGGATGAGGATGATTATATATTAATTTATTAAGCATCCTTCAAATTTCGGTTACATGGTTAAACACCATCAAAATAGTTATACGCATGAGGGTCAAACATTCTTTTACAGGTGTGCATACATAAACCAGGGAATATAATAGAATAGTGACAGAATTGTAAACGGATTAGTCTCTTATTATATTCAGTAGTAAAATTGATTATTTAATTTGCTCGTGGTTACCTGTCAAGATTCAAACCTCGTGAGATAATCGGCTTCAACACGCTTGTAGAAATGATAACTTCCTTGAACATCTTCTAACAATTAGTGAATGGAAGCACTGTCCGGAAACAAACATTTCCCAAAGGAACATCTCTGAATTGAAAAGTTTTCAGATGCGTAATGAAAATCTGCAATATTTATAATGCATATTAGAATTTGTTAGCGGTATTTAAAATTTATACATTTTGTGATTTTTGTATCTATACAAAGGTAGAATAGTTCAGGGTAAAGCTCCGATTACAATTATCACCCATCTTGGTTCATATAAGTAGATACACTTAGAGTTTACGTAGAAGGCTAACGATCATCCTGAATTATAATAATAACGATAAAAGTAGTGATAGTAAACCTATTGTTAAAAGTAATAAATATATTCGTAATCAGCCACATTTGTACTAACTTAACTCAAGTTTTAATATAAAGAGCCGACCCAGTCGAGATGTATTTTCTCATAGGCGTGATATTCATAAAAGACATGGACTGTGTTCGTAATCACCAATTTTTTTAATCATTTCGCTCAAGTAAGGCAATAAAGCTACTAAGACGCACTGGATTACTGAGTGTGAAAGAGTATTAGAAAAAACTTTTAAGTATCGAGAACAATAAAAAAAACAGGAATAAAAACACCGGTTAAAAATTTAATGCGTTAAGCGACATTCATATCTTTGTAGAAATATTAATCTCATTGAAGGAAAGACTACATTCTGATCTCATATAAGACACAATTTAAATACTATTGGATTAGTTGGGAATTATTTTGTCAAGAAATTGCACCAAGCGCAAGTTTAATGGTTAACGAATTTGTCTGAAGATTACTACAATTCAAATTCTTGTGGATTTGTACCAAGAATAACATATCTTTAGTAAATACCTATTTTATTAGTCACTTATTTTGATATATCGAAATATAATATGGAGGAAGTTGATTACATTTCATCGGTGTTGCAAACGCATCGAACAATAAGAAATAGCAAAATACTGTATAGGTCATTGTGTTTAATATTCGAAATATTATAGCGAGAGGAAGAATAAGATAATGATTTTACTTTATTGTAAAAAATAATTTCTCAAAGTTTTGCATACACAGTGGAACTGAGTAAGTATTTGGTTTATTTTATTTCAGTTGCAATCAAACGCTTATATCATTTATACACACTCTGAATTGAGTTGGTGACGTTCTTTTACGTGTTCACAAACGTTATGTTACCGGCTTGATACAAGTTTTCTAATTAGATATAACAATCTTAATAAAGACCATTTCTGAGCGCAGATTTAAATTAGCATTTTATAAATAGGAAAGACTCTTGTATCCCTTACTATGTTACTATCAAGGACTTAAAGGAAAATTTCAATAAAGGTATGATCATAAAAGCTAAATGACAGCGATGAAAGAAACATCCACAGTAATATCATTATCGAAATATGCACGAATTTCATTAAGTTTCGATAAGGCATAAGTTAAATTATGAGGGAGTGCGATCATGTGAGGCCAATATAAGAATTTCTTGTTTTTCATATATTTATATTGGAGTTACAATCTTTTAAAAAACACAAGAATTCATAAACAACATTGTTTTACGTTGGGGAATCATTGAGGTAGCGCGTTTTTAGAAAGAATTAGGTAAGATGCTTTAAAGTTTTTACAATAAATGGTAAATCTAATGTATTTGACAGAATCATTAATAGACTGGCGAATTATATTTTAATGACTTTTTTTATTGCAATTTACACTGCAATATAAAGAAATTAAGTACTTTTGATAGTTCCAAAACTTACCCCACCAAAAAAAAAAAACTTACAAATAAATTACAATTTATTATCACTTTCACGTTTGTAACATTGTTTTATTATTTCTACATGCGAATATTACATTTTTATATATGTGCATATATGTTATTAATTTATGTCAGTGTATACGATGCTTTGTTTAATGATGTGTGAGAAAGAGAGAAAGAAAGACAGATTCCAAGACCCTCACCTGAAAGAAAAATATCCATTTACCATACATTTTCGTCCTCTTTCTTCTTGAAGTCGGTATTGAAATTATTTTATGAGTGAACTGAGGTAAACGCACACGGACACACACACGCCCCCTTCATATACGCCCCTCACTCCCCCCAACAACAACAACAACCGGAAAGAGGGAATAGAGAGAATCCCTCACACACTCGCAAGAAGATCGAATTTTCAAAGCAAGTCTAGAAACACTATACTCTCAATTCGGCTGAGATTAATTGAACAGGGTACAGATATAAATAAACAATTTTTTTTGAATTCGAAATATTTAGTCTCATCTTCAGACGTTAATATCATTATAGTTTAATGATTTAGAAGTTTAGATGTTTAGTATGTTTAGTTTAGTATTGTATTTAGTTTGTGATAAGCTTGTTTACGTAAGACAGTTGCAAAATGATATCTGAAACAATAGATGGTGGAGGAATTCATAATTCAGCATCTAATTTATTCCCCGTGATAGAGGCAGAGACACTCATAACTATTCTTCAAATCGATGCTCAGTATCGTCGTTTTGGTAATCGTATTCATCCCTAAGGAAGGTAGATGGCACCAGTGGAAGAAGTATATTTTAAAAACGTCGTTTCAGAATAAAAGCCATTTACTTTCATTAATCCCAAAATAATCTTATATTTAAAACTGAGGAACAAAACTTTTCAAAACTTTTTCAATATGGATTTTATTTCATATAAATGTATAAATTACACCACTCATTCAAGAATATATATATATATATATATATATATATATATATATATATATATATATATATATATATATATATATATATATATATATAGGTAAAATGGAGTAGATTTCCATTGTACGTTACTGTTACTAGGGACATTAATTTAATTCTGTAATTAAATTTGAACATTTTAGCTTTTGTTTTTGAAAAATAGTAATTCTTGTGTCGTGATGGGGCTATATGTTTAAATAAGTAAATTTCTAATATTTGTGTTCTGTAGATTTGCATATATATATATATATATATATATATATATATATATATATATATATATATATATATATATATATATATGTGTGTGTGTGTGTGTGTGTATTTAGCAGCATCCCTTTTTAAACACGTTATATTAGCGCCAAAAGACAACATAGTCCTGCTAATTTTCTTTTGTATTTTCTCATATTTCCGAATGAGACTTTTTATTTCAAAATTATATTGATATATATATATTTTCCAAAAGACAACCGAGTACTTTCGAACGTCATCGTTCATCATCAGGGCAATACGATTCCGATGCAAGACAATTGGCTAAAGTTAAAAAAAAAAAATGACCCTGATGATGAACGATGATGTTCGAATGTACTCGGTTGTCTTTTGGAAAATATATATATCAATATAATTTTGAAATAAAAAGTCTTATTAGGAAATATGAGAAAATACAAAAGAAAATCAGCAGGACTATGTTGTCTTTGGCGTTTAATACAACGTGTTTAATATATATATATAATTGTAGCGATTTTAATAGATGATATTTGAACAAGGGATTTCGTTTCATACCCGATTGAAATTTATGACATATATACATATTCTGAAGGCAACATTACACCTTGTTTTTCTATAGGATTCATATACACATGAAGAATTTTAAATGTTTTTACGTTAAAGATGAAAATGGAAGAAAATGAGATTCCTTTTCCGTATTTGATGCCCTTCTATTTTAAGTGTGTGTAAATATGCGTGTGCTTCCGTGCATATAAGAATATAAGAAATCCATAAGACTTGAAGTTCTCTGTGATATCGAGCATATATTCTTTCCTACAATTTACAAGATTACCAAATTTACCAAAGATTATTTTTATGCCTAGATTAGGTCCCTACAAACGGATTCCAGTGTTTTTTTTTTTTTAATTTTAAATATTGGAATGCCAAACATATAGAATATTTACCTTTCAAATTCTATATGACATAATGTCATCATTAAAAAGGCAGGCCCATTGGAAGGCCCCATAATCCTGATACAAATATTGGTCCTGCTTTCCCTCCAGTACTAATAGATACTTTCCATTCGAAGGCGAGGGCATTGATGCTGAGGAGGGCAAAGATCAGCACCCCTTACAAAGTGTTTAAAGAAATAGAGGGAAAGAATAAACTTTCCAAAACAAATATATGATCTAGAATTGAAATGAGAGCTGTGATGGCACCTGAATCATCATAAAAATTCAGGATGTGCAATTAGTAAATATTAGTAAATATTAAATACTTCAAATACTCCGGTAAATGGATAACAAATTTACCATAGGCGATAAGGAAATTGGACACAGAAGAGGCTTAGCTGGGTGTACTTTCGTCCAACACTATAAGTTGCCGGAAAATAAAAACATTAACATTAAACTGGAGTCCTGTTCTTAAATTGTCTTATCAGATGGAAATATGGGTGTCACTGATGATAAGTTGTTCATAAATACCTGTCAGCTGTTTTCCATCACTTTCTCCGATCGATAGTTAAAGGTCGCGTCGAGTGAATGAAGCCTCTAGTTTTTAGCGAAGAATCACAAAGAACTTTACCAAATGATATGGAGCCCACTACTTGAGGACTTTAAACAACGACAACAACTAAAATAGATAGCATATATAATTCGAAAATCAAATGACGTAATCAAGCTGTTGGTATTCCACACTACTTAAAGCAAAAAGTTAGAAAGGAAATACCCATCAATACCGGGAAGAGCAATAACAATAACTGAACTTGAGATGCCTAT